AGAACACCATTAAGGTCATACACCTAGAGCAGCCAATGTCTCATGAATATTCATACACACAAATGACAACTTCAAAATGTGAGAAAGAAATCTGGCTGATCAAGTTTCAATCCATATTCTACTATTCAAAACCAGTTCTAAAGCAGAGAGTATAGGAACTGATTGCAATTCTTAGTGATAAACACTACCAAGTATTCCTAGTTCTTACTCAACTAGACCAACACACAACAGTGCCATCGCAGAATGGACTACATTTCAACTCATACACACTATGGAGGGATCATGTTCTGCACATCCTCATTCAGCACACAGCTTCTGATCCAAGCGCAGGAAACTTGGCGCTGCGTCAGCAAGAGGTAGACAGGAAACGAAGAAGCATCCAATGCACCACAGCATACCTACGCAATCCAATTTCCCTTCCCTCTCACCACATATCACATGGGAAAAACCAGTACCTTCAAACTTTAGTGAAAATACTGAAACAAAAGCAGCCAACATTAGCTACACGATACCCCAACAAGTCAGCCAAGCATTTTAGAAGCCTCATATTTTCTAAGCCACAGTAATTTTGGAGTTAATTTATAAACAACGATTAACTAAAGACTGACTGCTAATAATAAACAGAACTGCAACACTTCAAGGTATTCAACTGACATATGTCAAGACCTGTTTGTCAACTGTCAAAAATATTAACCCAATCATTCCAAATATCATCATTTAGTATTCCAGAAATTTCCTTCAGAATAATTCCTAAGTTTTCAGTAATCTGTGATCTTAGTTCCTGGTTCACCTCGATATTAATGCCTGCTGAATGATACAAGATACTGCCTTCATGTTCCACTATTCTCGAGACATGGCCAATGTCTGGCTTTAAACTGGACGATACCAGTGGAGACAATGCACCTTGCCCCATGACAGGGATTCATCTTGAAACGTTCCAGTAATATCATCATCATCACTTAATGTACACGCGCGTGTGCGCTTTTCTACTCAATCCATTACAAAAGGTGCACCTTGTGTTTTCTGTGATCTTTTGCAGTGACCAAGTACCAACACACGTGCAAAAAAAATGCCCAACTACTACCCTCAGGTATGAAGAAACATCTAGTGATATAGTGCCCAATCATAACATGAATTTCTCAGATTCTGTAATAAGATAATAACCATGTGACACTGCTAATATTAAAGTGAATTAATCTCCAAATTTTAAATAACTGTAATTACCTACAGACACCATACCATAAAAAAGTTACCCCAACATGAGGACTTTCCAGCAACTTGCCACAAAATGACCTCCAGTAAAAAATCTCAAAAAAAAAAAAGAGCTCTGCTCTCCCTCAACGTCTCACGGTTATAGAATGGCATTCTCTACAATGCACAAGTTTCGTATCTCTTGCAGAATAGCAGAACTGAAAATAGGCAATATGCAGGCAAAATATTGAGTATTATCATCCAAGTACAGACACCTCGTTTCATGCCTTAATCATCGAAACCACTTCCCCTGACTTTTGCCCCTTCCAAATACAACAATACTGCCCTCCCTAAAACAATCGGTATAAAAGGTCAGGAAATACACAGAGCTGGGGAGATACCTGCACATCATAACATTCCCAAACTACAGACAGAAAGTTCTGTGTCATACATAATGACTTACAAGTGCTGGCAATTCTTACGGCTCTAAGACATTAAGAGAAGTTTCTCTAATGAACCTCGTGTAGAAACAGATGGCTTCCAGTAGGCGAACAACTTCCAGCATCCAGAGTCTGATCACAGAACGCACAACATCCCTTATCAGCAAATGCCACAGATCTTCGAGTAGGATAGAAAAGGTCACAAATCTTCACCGTGGACTGCTGCATACGCCACCACTGCTGAGCTCTAAGAGTATAAGACAAAACTTTCCTTCCACACAAACAAGCACTTTGAGAACGTAACAAAACAAAATATAAAAACAATTATCTTTGAAGAATCTTAAAAATATGGAGTTCAAGCGTGTCAATGTGTGGAGATAAATATACAGTTCAAAACAAGTAGACAAATGCCCCTGTGACGTGGAACAGAATTTCAGAAAAGTAATGAAAATTTCAATAGGAAATTTAAATGGATTTTATTTTATTTTATTATATTAAGTGTACTACAACATGTGATTTTAATGCATATTAATGAAGTGTAGGAAGTTTTAATATAATAAGACACCTTGAAGATGGCCATCGAGGGCCAAAGTGTTAAAAGCGAAAGCGGAAGAAAAGGGAATAATTTGTTGCATTGAAATTCATATTTTGGAAAACATCTTCATAGTTTGTAAGGCACATTTGAAAATAACATAAAACAAAGAATGTTTAACGAGACAGACTGATTAGAGTTTACAAATAAAAACTAATTCCCTGAGAAGACCCCGTTTCTGTTCAAGAATCTTCAGTACTGTATTTAAGCATCCTGTTGAATTAATATACCTCTCACACACAATGCAATTCTGTCAAGAATGCGAACGGTCATCTTCAGGTGTCTCGGCTATGCCAAAACTGTTCCACTGTAAAGTATGTCCAATTACTCACCTGTAATTGCAATATTTCATGACTGAAAATATTGTAAGTTACCATCAATAACCCAGTTAGCACTAGTTAAAATTCCATAAGCTGCAAATTTACATTTAAATTTAAAATTTGTTACAATTTTGTAAATTTCTTTTTACACCTCTACTAGTGCCATTGTCCACTTGTCTAAACAATAAATTTCATTATCACTCTCTTTGGATTTGTTATACTGTAGTGGCCTGGGCGTTTGCATTTTATTTTCTGCGCATAAGCCCTCCATATTGGTTATCATTTTCCACCTAGCACATGTGTCATGTTGTCTTCCCTTGCATGTGGATGTTACACATAACATAGAGTCTAAGAGGAAGAACAATAACCACAACAACAGGCTTGAGCAAAGGAACAGGATTCATGCATCAATTCACAGAAAAATTTCCAGTCTTCTAAGATTTTTGAAGAAACTTTTTTGCGTGTCAATTTAACGCAGTACCAATACTGATTATTTTATATACTTGCAGATCCCATCAAGGACTCCAGAATGCAGGAAAGTTGTCCTTGTGCTTGCTTAAGCACCACACCAAGTGTAAGGGCAGTAGTCAGCTTCATGCAGCAGCCACGTCAATGTATACATTCCAGAGTGTTACAGCTCACAGAGCACATGCAGACCTCACCATGATTATAAACATGCCATTATTTTCCATACACATGACTAAGGCCCTTTATTAAAAACACGACAGCTTTCAAATAGGAGTACTTACTCTTCTCCAGCTGCTTTACTCCAGACTGCGTCGTCAGGTCCCATGCAGTACCAACCGACTCAACACTGGCCACCTGTGTCCTAACTAGAAGACATGCTGAGCAACAGAAAAAGTCAGAGAGACCCTGCCTTTTCAACATGAGCAATTGTGATTAGGAATCTCACAAATCACAATAACACCACTTCTAAAACTTACATTTAAAACAGGTACAATAACACACGCAAAAAGCCGCATCCCAGGAACACACTTCAATTTACCTCTTGTACAAGCGTAATCTTGCTGTCAGGCCTTTCCTCACAAATTCACAGGAGAAATGTTCAATACATATATTTCTAACAATGCAGTCCTCTACTGCCTTCAGAATGCAGACTTACACTTGAAATACGACAAACACAGCACCACTGATGAAGTGATACTGCGACTTGGCTGCTTGCTCAACACGTGTCAAATGGCATCAGTCACTTCCGCAGCATATTGAAAATGACACCGCAGATCTCCAATACACTGCATATGGTGCCAATATTTCTCTTTCCATTTTGCAGACCAAGAGCTCTTTTATCTGTAGATCTGCTACTCCAAAGCCTGTAGAAAACAAAAATAAAACCTCCTTTTCCCATCCCGACAACAGGTGTAAACCTGATAACAGAAATCAAATGCAGTATATACATTAAAACCACAAGTTCTCTAGAATTACAACAAAACACTGAACCTTTCTCAAAGTTTTGAGCTGTATTAAAACTGCAGTCTCCTGCTACTTGTCACTGTTCACTACTTCCCTGCACAGCGGTAGTTAATCTAAAGCAACTTCTTCCAGCAACCAGGAGAATGAATTCCAGTAGTTTTGATGCAATTCACAGAGCACAACTTCCTGAAAATGTTCAATGCAGTATGAACACACCACAATTTGGGACCTTTAACACAAGGTTGGCAAAAATTATTTCTTAACTGCAACGGTCTTGCATGTTATAAAACAAATCTGGGACACTCTGTCTCAAAACGGTGTGGGCCTTCATGGCCTGTTACAGGGGATAGCTTTACTTTTTTACTTTTACACTGACTGCACCCTACAGCTTCAGTCAGATCTGAAGGAAAAAGGAAACCAATATCTCCAGCACTCTCCCATCTCAACTATGAATCCAGATTTCCACTAAATCAACTGATTATTATACCAGAAACAACCTAAAAAAGGCAGATGGCCAAAAACCCAGAGGCACAAACTTTAGAACACCATTAAGGTCATACACCTAGAGCAGCCAATGTCTCATGCATTATTCATACACACAAATGACTAAACATCACAATGTGAGAAAAATCTGGCTGATCAAGTTTAAAACCACATTCTACTATTCAAAACCAGTTCTAAAGCAGAGAGTATAGGAACTGATCGCAATTCTTAGTGATGAACACTACAAAGTATTTCTGTATGCCAACGTTCTTATTCAACTAGACCAACGCACAACAGTGCCATCACAGAATGGACTGCATGAAGATCCTGTATTTCAACTCATACACACTACGGAGGAATCATGTTCTGCTCATCCTCATTCAGCACACAGCTTCTGATCCAAGGGCAGGAAACATGGCGCTGCGTCAGCAAGAGGCAGACGGAACGAAGAAGCACACAAATCTTCTTGAAGTGTTGTTGCGTCCAATGCACCACAGCATACCTACGCAGAAACCAATTTTGCTTCCCCCCCACCACATAACATATGGGATAAACCAGTACCTACAAACTTTAGTGAAAATACTGAAACAAAAGCAGCCAACATTAGCTACATGATACCCCAACAAGTCAACCAAGCACTTTAGAAGCCTTGTATTTTCTCAGCCACAGTAATTTTGGAGTTAATTTATAAACAATGATTAACTAAACACTGATTGTTAATAATAAAGAGAACTGCAACACTTCAAGTTATTCAACTGACGTATGTCAAGAACCAAAAATATTAACCCAATCATTTCAAATAATATCATTTAGTATTCCAGAAATTTCCTTTAGAATAATTCCTAAGTTTTCAGTAATCTGTAATCCTAGTTCCCAGTTCATCTCGATATTAATGCCTGCTGAATGATACAATACACTGCCTTAATATTCTGCTATTCCCAAGACATGTCCAATGTCTGGCTTATGAGTTACGGACGCGTGTGCGAGAATCAGTGATATTTCGTGATAACCGAGTAATAATTGGGAGCGTGTGATACATTGCACTTTTATACCTCCGGTTTTATAAAAACTGACATTAGAGTGATTTGATTTGCGAATAGGGTTATAAATTGTGAAACCCCACAACATTGTCATAATTAATTGTAGCCGAGATTTGTATGTTAAATAAACCAATTAACAATCTGAACGGCATCTACAGTAACCCAACACGTTACGATATTAATGATAGAAAATAAGGTTTCTCAGTTTAAAACCAATAATTGTTACATAAAATCAATAGCAACATGTCTAGATAATTGTGTAACAGTATTCCGGTGGGTCTGCTTTGTTGTCTCTAGATTTTCAATTCTTGAATGCTAACTTTTGATACTGTTTTTATAAACAACAGGTTGGGCAGGGACTACCAATATAAAACCTGATCAGAATGAGCTCAACAGTTCTTGAGTTAAGAGATGACAGATCTCAATTATGTGGAAAATATTTGCTGTAAAATTGTATCATTTTTCTCTATAGTTGTTCGAAACTTTTTTGCTCCTGTGCCCCTTTCCTTACCCCCTAGACTGAGTTTCATGACCACCTTCCTTGCAGCCGGCCTATATAAGAAAGTAAATTCTTGAACATGAACATTCTGACCCTGAAGATGGAGGCAGCATATGTCTCTGGAATGCTGTATCCACCTGCAAGGCTGCACAGCATTATTATTGTGTTACACTTTCAAGGCAACAATTCTCAGCCCTTTCATGATGACAGTACTGGAAAATGAAAGAAACATTGAACTACAGATGAAGTAGCGATTACGATCAGTAATTATTTATAATATATTCTTAGGTCATATATGCATATGACAGGATATTATCAGCATGACTGGTCATAATATGTAATTATAACAGAGCTAGCTCAGTAATTATTTGTAATACATTTTCAATTTATATATGCAGTTGTCCTATCTAAAATTATTATGGCTCATATTTTATTTATCATACTAATGTGATCTACAAATTTAGAATCAAATTTTAATAACCCAGATCTGTTTGTCATTAATTGATAACCATAACAAAGATGGCTGCTGATGGTACAATTTTAA